GATTTCAGCACTGTCCAATTGGACAAGGATCTGTCATATGAGGAGGAGCCGGTGGCTATTCTAGACCGGTAGGTTCGACAGTTAGGTCGAAGAATTTTCCTTTGGTGTATGTTCAGTGGAGAGGCCAGCCTCCTGAGGAATCGACCTGGGAGTCTGAGTCCGATATGCGGAGCCGTTATCCTCATGTATTTCCCGACTCAAGTACTTCTTTCTTTTGTCCGTTCGAGAACGAACGGTTGTTTTAGAGGTGGAGAATGTGACGACCCGAAGGGTCATCACCGTAGTTCTTCCTTGTTCCGCGCTTTTGAGGTCTTGAAAATCTCGCTTTTAGTTGTCTCGATTGGCGTGCGCAGTTCAGGCGCATAGCCGGAAAGTTTTTATGTTAGAATATGTGAATTATGTGAAACATTTGATGAATTTTGGTATTAATATGCATAATGTTGACTTCGGTCAACATTTTGGATAAACGAACCTGGATCTGTGATTCGACGGTCTCGGAGGGTCCGTAGAAAAATATGGGATTTGGGCGTGTGCCCGGAATCAAATTCTGAGGTCCCAAGCCTGAGAAATGAATTTTTGAAAGAAATTGTTTTTCTGAAATTTGATATGAAAATTTGAAATGAAAAAGGGGTTAGAAAATATAGGTATCGGGCTCGTATTTTGGTTCTGACGCCCGGTACAAGTCTTAAATATGTGTTAAGCGCTATCTGTAAAGTTTGGCTAAAAACGGATGTCATATGACGTGTTTCGGACTAAAAATGTAGAATTTGAGTTATGAAAGTTGAAGAAAGAAAATCATGTGTTTGAGGCTTGATCCTATGTATATGATGTTATTTTGGCGATTTGATCGCACGAGTAAGTCCGTAAGATGTTTTTAAGGTTGTTTGCATGTTTGGTTTGGAGTCCGCGCTGGAGCCGTGCGGCCTCGATGCCTTTCTGTGCGGTCCGTGTGGCTGAGTCTGAGGGCTAGGGTTTCAGGTCAACCAGCGCGGCCGCACACCAAAATAGTGCGGTCCGCGCTGGAAGGGTTCAGAGAATCCCCAATTTTTCTCCCACTCGACGCGGCCGCAACATATTTTTGTGCGGTCCGCGCCAGGTCCTCAGAAAGGTATACAAGTTCGGAAAATCTCAGTCATTTTTCACTTTTCAAAAACCCAAAACCTAAGAGGCGATTTTCCAAATAACTTTTTTTTTCCTCCAAAATGATTGGTAAGTTATTTCTAACTTAATTTCTTTATTCCTTAACATCTTTTAACAT